AAAAATTCTAAACATTTAACTAATAAATTCTGCTGTTCACAGCGTATAAATGCATGCATGACAGGGCGACCCCTGCCATTGCTGTCAACGGCCATTATAGTTAAAAGAGGCAAGTTATAAATATTTGTTTTGTAGGTAATATCCATTACCAAAACTTCTGGATACTTAATCAAACATTGCATCATCTCACGTGATGAGTACACTAAATATATAAAATTACCCTCCCCATCCCTCCCAAAATCAACTCTACCTCCTTCAACCATTAGATAATTTAAAAGTTTTTCTGTCTCCTGCTGGTCTGTACTTTTATTAGGCACACGCACCTTTGCCCTCAGATTGCTGACATCTTTGGGAGCAACCACAACATTCTGTTCTTTTAATATAACTTCTCTGAGCTCGGTGTTTGACACTGATGTATACTGAAGCAGCGTGTTCAACATTGGGGTTAGCTGGACCTTTCTCTTCTCAGGCAATGCATTAACACTCTAAATAAAAAAGGAAATTAAAGCAATTTGAGTATGTAAAATAAGATATATATCTAAATGTAGCCTATAACTTAAAAGAATCCAATGTGTACTATACAAGCACAATAGAAATACATTAAAAGCATGTCTGTGCAATAACATCTTACCTCCTGGGACAGCATGTGGTTAGCATGAACTAAATCCGATTGCACTACTTGCAACTTCCAGTTGTCGTTGACTTTAACCATTTTAACTCTCAATTTGGCTGGACAGCCTAGTTTTAATGACCTATAAAATAAAGAAACTGTTTTAAACAACATTAACTATGGTCATTTAAAGTGTAACATATAGTTTTAACAAGTTCTTAACTTGTATATTATTTAACAGTAACATTCTAAAAAAGAACAAACCTTTGGTTAGGTCGCAAGCCCTTCGATTTTGACGCCCTCTCTGTGCCATGCTTGCATTCATAGAGAATGAACTGGTAAACAAGAGTCTCATACTCAGTGGATCCATTTGTAGCTGGTAGCTAAATTTAATGAAACAAATGAATACATTATAATTATAATACATGTATATTGTATGAAATTATTGCTAATGTTAAGGATGGCTGCCACGGGGTCTTTTGGGTGTTTATTATAGTTGCAGTAAATTAGGGTTTAGCTTAGGTTGAGGGATCGATTTAGGGTTCAGGTTAGGCATAGGGATCTATTTAGGGTTCAGGTTAGGCATAGGGATCGATTTAGGGATTTATCGTGAAATTCGATAAAATAGTGGCAGTCGTCCTTAACATTTACCTATGAAATTAATATTATACTTAAACTGTATAATAATATATCTATAAATCTATTTTAAAAAATGCGCTTTTTAACAATAAATAAATTGTAATAGTGGCAGTCGTCCTTAACATTTACCTATGAAATTAATATTATACTTAAACTGTATAATAATATATCTATAAATCTATTTTAAAAAATGCGCTTTTTAACAAAAAATAAATTGTAAAAATCAATAAATAAAGATAGTTAGATAGGCTTACCTTTTTAGAACTCTTTTTTATAAAGACAGCATTTTGAAGCTCTTCTAAGGCTTTGATGTAAAAATGCGCTTTTTAACAATAAATAAATTGTAATAGTGGCAGTCGTCCTTAACATTTACCTATGAAATTAATATTATACTTAAACTGTATAATAATATATCTATAAATCTATTTTAAAAAATGCGCTTTTTAACAAAAAATAAATTGTAAAAATCAATAAATAAAGATAGTTAGATAGGCTTACCTTTTTAGAACTCTTTTTTATAAAGACAGCATTTTGAAGCTCTTCTAAGGCTTTGATGGCTATTTCCAAATCTTTGAATGTATCAAAATGGCAATTTGCAGCTAAAACACTTTCAGGATTCATTTCTAGGCAGGTGTTGTCACTAGTACGAACTAGTAAAAAATGAACGAGCCATTGCTTCACCCTCGTCATAGAAAGCGGGTTTTTAAAGTTCCGGTTTTGGTTTGATTTGATTGGCTGGACTACCAATAGCTCTCTAGTAGCTATTGGTAGTTCACTACCAATAGCCTCCAAGCAGCTATTGGTAGTGAACTACCAATAGACACTTCCAACAATTAAATGTATCTGTATACAATCCATAAGTTATATTTTGTTAATTATTATTAAAAAATATTCAATAAAAATTACATAAATTGGACTTTTAGACTTTTTTTATAAATCAAGATAGGAAAAGTTTCATATGCAAGATTCTGATAATTGTTTTTCCCGATCACTGATGCTATCATTGAAAATATAAATATTTGTGGTAGGATTTAATTTCGATCTACTAATTATTCGAACAACACCGTAGAAGGGGAGATAATGCTTTTCCGTAAACAAAACTTTATTTGATTTTAAAAATAAACAAGCAACTTATTTATCTAATCTCGGTCAAAAGGAGACCCTACGAGAAAGACCTTTGAGCTTTGTGTTTGCACTGACCAAAAGCTGGTAGATTAATGCAGGCCTAGAAGAATATTAAAAAGAACAATAACATTAAGTAAATATTTAAATATTGAAAGTAGGCCTGCCTAATAAATGTCATGCGCCTATTTAAAATTTAGCCTTAAAACTAAAATCATGACATTAATATTTTGTCTGTGTCAAGCTTGGCTATTTTTTTAAAAAGTTAATCATTCAATTATTTCAATGACCATATATTTATATTTAATCAAATTTTAATTTCATTCATTATTTTATATTTGGAACAGCTGTGTGGTGGGTGTAGTGAAGACCTAATGCCTAATGAAAATAGGCCTTAAAAAGTACATTTACATAGTTATAATCTGTACTTGAGTACTGATGTACTGTAGGCCCTGCCCTAATTGTAAGCCTACTAGTTATGTAAACATAGTTAATATAGTAATTTACAAAATAATTGTATGCTCAGTAGCCAAATTAAATAGTATTAACTAGGTCCTTTATATATACTTCATAATTTGCTATTAAATCTAAAAACAACCTTATGCCTACCTTAAACCTTAATTTAAGTTAAAGTAAGTATTATCAAAATATTAATAATTAATTAATAGGCATAGGTGAACAGTGAAGGTGTAACACTTGTGTTGCGTTTGTCTTTTATGTATTATTATAAGTAATAATACTGGTTATGGCATGTAAAATATGAAAAAGCTTGTTGAAATTTTGTCTTAGTAAGACTTAACTTTAGGCATTTTAGGCGTCATAATTTCTTATTGACTAATTTGTTCATTCATAATTCAATTAAAAATGTTACCATCATACTTTGTGGGGATGAACCCTTGTCCCAGGACGTTTGCCAATTATTTCGTGTGATTTGGATTATGCAAAATAGGTTTTAATTAAACCAACAAAGTTAGAGCTAGAAAAATTTATATTTATGCAAGCCCATCACTTTAACAAGAAGTTAAGCAGCGTATGCATAACCTTTCGTCAACAATAATTTATAAAAATTTCAATATGTTTGAAACTTCAAAGTAATTTCAACTAAGCATTTTTAAAGCATAAAAGGTGTGCCTTTTAATAATTTTAATAAATAGGGGCTTCAATTAATTATGTCAAAATTTTTTTAAGTGAATTTTTACAAACATCCCCCCCCCCCGTAAACAACTGTCAAGCCTTCTAAGACCCCCGAAATTGTCAAAAAATTTTTACCCAGTACCCCTGCCAAAAAGCAAAACCTAAAAACAATATAAAAGGTTTGTCTTTTAATATTTTAAATAAATAGGGGCTTCAATTAATTATTTCAAAATTTTTTTAAGTGAATTTTTAAAACCCCCCCCCCCCCCCCGTCAACAACTGTCAAGCCTTCTAGGACCCACGAAATTGTCAAAAAATTTTTACCCAGTACCCCTGCCAATAAGCAACACCTAAAAACAACCAAATGTATATGTAACTGACACATTGATGTGCTACAACAAACTCTACAAGTTCCAGTCTCATGCATTTAGAATTGCATCATAACCAGAGAAATGTTCCCTGGCAGTCAGTCAACTATTTTTCGTTCCTGTCCCCTTTTTATCATCTATCAAATTTGGGTTTCCATCCCCAATAGTTATTAATTTAACACTACAACTAATGTCTAGTGACTCCAAACTACAAAACACTTTAAAACTTTTAGTAAAAATTATTTTTTAAGTCACGTGAAAGACTTACGCTAAGATTTAACTTGACTGTATATATCACAGACGCCTTTTTTTTTATTTCTTAGTTTCCATATTTATTATGATCATGAAAGAACTTATAAGAAGAATGGGTGGGCATGTTAACCTTTTTTTTTTTTATTTCAGGCTTCAACTTAAGAAATGGCCACACAAGTCTTAGATTATCGTCTTGACATTGATGAAAAGAACTTTAAAGCAGAGAGCTATTTCCCAGGAATCGCTTATGATGATTATGACAGAGAAGGTTTACATTTCATTCATAAACGTTATACTGCTTACACTAATATGTAAAGAATTTTTTTAAAATATATTATGGTTACATGATGCATGACTTATAAACTTACCCCTGACAATTTTTATCAGTATTCTTCCAAGTATTTACTATGAGTAATGAGCAATTTTTATTTTGAAAATAATAGTTTCTTACAAAATTAATTAATTATGAAGCATATTAAAAGAGTAGAAAAGTATTTGAGATAATATATTAAAATGTTACAGAAAGTCTTGTTTGTAAAATCACTCAGACTTGATAAAATTTTGATTTCAGGAGGCATAAGTCCATGGAAGATCTGCAGAATGTTTGAAGCTGGGAGAGTGGTCCCATTTTTACAGGGTAACTTTCTAGATTACTTGAACCTCTGCTCCAAGAATTTTGGCATATTCGTCCTGGGTGGCGACTACTACTTCGATTCTTGTTTGTGGGAAGTAACCCGAAGATATCATTATTTTCCATACAAAGTAAGCATGTCGATGCAATAAAATAAGCTTTAATCATTTGTGATCACAATGGGAGGAAAATAAAAATTGCTTTACAAATTTACTATTATATTTCTCGATTCTACATAATTTGCTTCAAAATAAATTATATAAAAATTATATCTGACATTAGATTTAAAGTTATTAGTTGTTTATTGCAGGTCTGCACAACATATGGCCCGCTTGGCCGCCCACAAAGTAACGAAATATTCTTTATTATTATTATTTTCTTAATAGCTTTCCCCAGTCCTATCATCTTTTGGCCCGCACAAAAAGTTTTTCATTAAGTATTACGGCCAGCACAAGCTTTTCATAAATTATTACGGCTGGCCTTACCTTTTGAATTGTGCAGGCCTGGTTTATGGTGATCTGTAACAATATGAAGTTCTAATTTCATTTGATGCATACAATATTTTAATTCATAAATAAGAAATTGGCACCATTGGTTGTGGCACCACTTGCTTTAACAGAGGGAAATAATTCTATTTGGGTGATCAAAAAAATATATTTTTTAAAATCTTTAATCTAGTTTTCATTCAATGATTTCTGGGGCAGAAATACCCTGCAAAAATATATTGATGAATGAAAAAAATAACAGCAAATACTTTATATTGCTGTAAACTGTAACAATATAAATTAATAAGATTAATTTTAAAAGATATTACAAAGTATGCCACCTCGAATAATGTCAATTCTTCATGTCTATACAGATTTCTATAGAACTGATAAATGTGGGTCAGACATCAATGACAATCAGGGAGGTGCTGACCAATCTACTTGATAACAAGGAAATTGCCACATTCTACGGAACTGTGGTCTACGTGGATAAACTGGCCAAACGTTCACAGCCCCTGCCCTACTGGCATAGAACAAAATACCAAGGTGCTGCGTCCTCTGAGAAAGTTCAGTTAGATTCTTCTGTCACAAAAGCACCCGATAAAGCTTTTAAGGTGAAATTATGAAACATTGAAATGGTCCTTCATAGTTTTATTTGATCTTTCTGGTTTATGTAATGTGGTTGTTGAATGGTAAATGGTGGTTTGAGGATAATGCCAGAAAGTCTGATTATTAATATGTATACAGGCATGCCGTTAGATGGGATGGTAAAATTATTATTTTTAAAATAAAAATTCATGGTTTTCCTGTTTAAGGGACAAAAATTAGTTTCTGAAAAATCTTATTTGATCAAATCATGTAATGCTTTTCTTTTTTGTAATGATGTGAATCATGAATAAATCCAAATATTCAAAGCATGCTAAATAGAGCCTACCTTTGTCAATTAGGTAAAAACACTGATTGCTGCCAGTGACACAGATCTTAATGGCCACACAAACCAAGCAAGTTATGTCAGGTCAGGTTAATTTCATGATGAAACCCTTTTTTGATATTATAGTTTAATACAGGGAGGAGAATGTTTCTTTGATTTATTAGCATTTTACTTAAAGACACTTAGGAAAAGTTGGATTTAATAAAATAATAATGAGTATTTCCAACACTTCTTTATAGCAAAACAAAACCGAAAAATGCCGCTTTGAAAAAAAAATGAATGTTTAAATCGTGTGATATTTTTGCCATTACTATCATCAGAATTATAAAGAAGGGGTCACCAGAGACAAGGCAAATCATGTAGTCCAAACATCCTTAAATTTTGTATTTACAACATAATTGTTTTAAAAATTGTTAAGAAATGTTACTAAAAGCTTCTTTTAAAAAAAAATATTTAAACCCTCTATGTAATGAAAACTTGATCTGTTTTTTTTCAGATTTTGTTTAGATGCAGCAGAGGCTGCTAGACGGGCGAATCACTTGAAACTCTTAACAAGAGATATTTGCAGATATCCCATCCTGAAACTTAGCACCTCGTATCGAAGAGAGACTTTGGCAGGTGAAGCCATTACAACTTCAGTGTGGCAGGATGATACTACACCCACGGTGATCCACTTTGCACTACATTGTGGCGATACCTTGGCATTCACTGCATGTGTGACATTCAAGCCAAAGGCATGCTCCAGGCTTTAGCCTTGATTGAATTAGTTGACTGAGTTGACAATAAAAAAACTTACAATAAGTCCACCATTATAAAATGGTAGATTTTCATTTACACAGAAAAAGTCTGGTCTATGGATAGAAATTCAGACAAGTATTTATATCCAGTATCCCAGCTCATTCATTGTTTGAAACAAATATGGCGTCACATAGGCAATTGGCTTATTAATATCATAGAATATATGGTGTAACGTCAATTAACAAATTCTCAAGAAATTTTATTCTTAACAAATAAATGCTGAACTCTTTACTATTTTCTTTTCAAAAACAGCTTTTGAACTGACCATTTTTAAAAATGTAACAAAAATTTTAAAGATACATATTTTTTGGCTTCCTCCTGCCATTTCTGTTTGGGTCATTTCAACATGAAAAAATTGAAATAATTTGAAATGAATTGGATAGCTCTATGTCGTCTATAACATTTTAAAAAACTTAAATATTTAAAATTGTGATTTAAAAGAAAATAAAATGGGTTCGAAGGACGTAATATTACATAAAAATTGTATCGAAGCAGCATTGATCTCACATGCTATTCATATCATTTTTTTATTCTCTCTACCCAAACAATATGCATTACATTCATACACTCGTTTTAACCCAAAAGAGACAAACTGAATGTATGTTCCAAAAACATTCATTATGACGTGCTGAAACCAGCACCGAATGTCTTGTATCTATCCGAATGTCTTGTATCTCTATACCTTTTTAGGTTTAATTCTCAAATTCAAAATTAAAAAGTGTTGAATGAATAAATTTAAAAAGTTGCACACATTTTTGACTTGTCCTTATTTTTATAATGTTTTTAGTAGGTTTATTTTATTAAATTATTCTGGTTAACTTACTTAAAGCAGTCAGTTTCTAAATATTATTAAACAAGGGCTTGTTGAAATGAAGTGACAGATGACAATGAAACCAAAGTTTCTTTTTTCAACCTTAGTTTACTTAAATGGTTAGAAAGGGACTTTCTAATCTCTCTGGGTGACATTGACCAAATAATTCCAAGAAATTAAAATTTGTTCCACTGTTTAACTTACTGCTTATAAAATGAGTAGATTTTGATTTTAAGCAACATCTCAAGTCATCAAAGATGAAAAGAAATAAAACAAATGAGAACAGCAATACCTCAAAGTTGTGCTGTGTATGGTTCGGGCGTAAGTCGTAAGTGGACATAGCTGAAGTCGGGATAAAGATGGACCTACATACTCCTCTGACATAATTTAATTATGCCTTTTTTTTTTTTTTAAAGAAAGTCTACAAAGAAAATGTAATAGTAATTTAAATTACTTAAATTTTCATGATTCCCCCAAACTATGTTTCTTATTTAAATTGATATAATATACAAATAAATGAGTTATTTTAAAGAAAATGATAGCACATTGGTCTTTATTTTGAAGAAAATGACAGAACATTGGTCTGTCTAGATAAGATTGTTCTTCAAGGTGTCGGTTAGATGATTTTTTTTATTGATCCAAATAAATAAAATTGTTTTTTTTTTATAAATTGTACATTCATTTTCAGCACATGAATAAATACAGGTACATATGTAAACCAAGACAACATTGTACAATGATAACAATTTCAACACAAGGCATCTGAATTATTTCTCTAGCATAGAAATCAGTCACAAATGAACTTCTTTAGTGACGGGAATGACTTAATTAGTGATCATTTAGATTTGGTAATGTCTGTGGGAGCATGCTGGTAAATTCATACAGACTGGGGAAAAAAATACTTTTTATATCTTTCGGTCTTAAATTTAAGTTTAAGAGAGAATTTCCCATGATTGAGCTGATCTTAGGTAAGGGGGTACAATCTGAAGCAAGCTGCACTTAACCTTATAGGGGAAATGTTGATTGGGTTATTGTTACTCATATAAACAAAAATATGTGTTAGGTAATCAGCAGCAGTTTTTTTTGCTTGGTGAAAATAATAACAACTCACGGTATTCCCTGGTTAAACATTGATTTTTATGATGGACAAGAAATTGTTTTATTGTGTGTTTTCAAACCATATACAAGAATTCAGAAAAATGGAATGGAACAGTAAATTTCATATGTACAGAGCATTTTGAGAATAGGAATAATTTTATAAATCAACATGTAAAAAAATCAACAACAAAAAGACAGTTCATATAACTTCTAACTCTATGGTGGCCTTTTATCATCAGATCTTGTACTTGTAATTATGTTAAACTCTTAAATATTTTTTTATGTTCTCCAAAAGACAATGGGGGAAGAGAACCCACCTCAAGTAAACAAATGAATTTATTATTTATAGAATCTAATAGATACAATTAATCTACATACATTATTAAAAAAAACCTATTTTCTAGAACCATGAAATTGCCAGAAAGAAGACCCAAGGTTAGAACTATATGGGGAATGATAATGTTATTGCTTAAGTTGGATAAAAATTAATCTTTTGAGTTTTCAGCAAGCTAATGATATTTAATATTTCAAATATATTTTCATAACAAAATTTTATTCACAAATAAAAGAAAATTCCATATCCAATTTTGATTGTGAGAGGAAATCAAAATATAATCTTTACAAAAAGTCGGTTACTCTTATTTTAACCCTCTTGAGATTAACTCTTTTGGTGCCAAGAAGATGGAGCCCTCTTCACAAATGTGTAGAAATGTATCTTACTTTACAAATATAAAACAATATATATATTTTATTGTAGGAAATTAAATGAGCTAATACGATCTTTATGAATCCAATTGAAATCTCAAAATGTATTCAAATGAGATATCTTGATTTGTATAATTTATGCTTACAATTTTTTTGTGTACACTTAAAATTTACTTGTCTTATTTGCAGAATTTTGTTGAATTTTGTCTGATTGTGGAAGCCTAAACAGGTCCTAACGAACACTTGAATGAGATTCAATGTGAAGAACTGAATAAAATATACAGCATGGGGTGCTTATGTCTTTTGTTATATTTCAACATCATATTTTTTAGCATTTTATCGGGGGTCACTAGGTACAACAAAAATAGCTATAAAATGATAGAACACCATAAATTATCAGTGGAAGCTGCCAATTAAAAAAGTGAGCAAGAAATGCGAGAAGCAATCTGATTAGCTGGTACGAAGACCAGCCAGCCAATTTTGAGCCTTGTATTATTGGGCTTATACTATAGATCGGCCCAGTCGTCTCAAGAGGGTTAAAATTGATAAATTATAAAACTTTAAATAAGCAAAAAAAAAACTTTACATTAGACACACAACTTAACATTAGACATACAAGCCTCCCATCACCAACATTAATATGCAAACCCAACTTTTAACTTTTTAATTTTGAAATTGGGTGCTTACATTTCTTAATCACAAAAGTCCAGTGCCATAAACATGGGATGTGGTGGGTTAATGGTGGGAGGAATGATAAGGCGGGCCATCAACCCAATTTGGAGATGCACCAAGATATCTTTAATCATCTGTTTATGGAAGACTGGGGACAGGAATCTTGTGTATTGTTAATATGTACATATAACATATAGTTTTAATCTCTTGATCTGGGCTTATTGAATGACAAGTGCAAACCCGGTCTTGCACATTAGTCTTCTTCAAAGGAAGTCATCCTGTCCCATTTTCAAACTTTTAAATAACTTAAGATCATTAGCTTTTAGCAATTTTTAATGATTAAATGAGATCTTTGTTTTTCAATATGTGGTACTTAGAAAAATTTGCTTTTAAACAAAATTTGACAAGAGTTTAATTTATCATAAAACACAGTTGATTATTTCCCTTGAGTTCACACATGATCTACAACACCACATTCACACACACAACTAGGAGAATAAACTCCCATCACTCACAACGAAATAATCATATCACATCTATTTGTGGCCCAGTGTCCCATAAGCATGTGGGGGGGGGTGGGGGGGGGGAAATAGAAAGAAAATGTAATTAATGATTTCTGATTGATGATAAAAATTTTTTGAGTCACATCTATTTGTGGCCCAGTGTCCCATAAGCATGTGGGGGGGGGTGGGGGGGGGGGAAATAGAAAGAAAATGTAATTAATGATTTCTGATTGATGATTAAAATTTTTTGAGATTTTCAAAATTAAAAATCTGATAACAAAAGGGCCAAACAATGCTGATAAGAAAAATGAGAGAGAGAGAGAGAGAAAGAGAAAGCGTAAGTGAGTGAGGAAGCATTGAAAGATAATTGTTTACCAAACAAGATCATCGCTACAATAGCAAGTCAGTAGTAACTGCAATTTTTGTACTTCAATTGCATTTCCAGCTCACATTTGAAGTAACTATTTTATTCATTATCATTTTTACTGGGGGGGAGGGGGGGGGGGAAGAAGTGGGGTGGTGGTGTTTTTTCCCCGGACAAAGACTTTCAAATATATTTATTGCCTCCTCCCAATTTTATAATGCTTTAACACCTTTAACTGTAATTAGCATCTTTCAACTTTTAGGACTTCACAGCAGTTCATTTTAAATTTTTGATTTCTTTGATACTGCATTAAATTGTGCTAAAACACTTTTCACACAAAGAAAAAGGAATAATGATAGCATAGCACGTAGCTGAAAAGCACACATCAACTAAGTTTAAATAGTGGAAACAATTGTAAGCCTTACATGCCCCACAACTCGGATAAGTTTAAATAGTAGAAACAATTGTAAGCCGTACCTGCCCCACAACTCGGATGCATTTTAAGACCACCCAAAGAAAAACCCAGAGCAGACAGAAATAGTGGACAGCTGTGGTGATCATAGGCTCGTGCCTCAAGCAGCGGTCAGGCAACGATGGGATTTGAATGAGAAGAAGCAGGCCACACAAATTAATCCTTTCATTTTTTGTTTCCCGTGAGGTGAAATGTCAATTGTCGGCAGTTCAGCGGCTCACACGTGACCGGTAAAAAGTCAATTTGAAAGACAGTTCAACAAGGTAAGGGTGCCAATTTTTCCCCAACAACAATTTGAGAAGATTTAATCGACTTTATCTACGGCTTAACCGACGCATCAATCTGTCGTAAAACTTTATTCATAAATAGTTTATTGCCTTTAAAACAATCATAACATTTATTGTTTCTAATAGTCATATTTTCAAAAAAGTTTCAACATAGTACACCATCTGTCTCAATCTAGAATTGTTCAACTACTTCTTTCATCACTTCTGTAATAATTCATATATTTTCCTGAATTGAAACCATGGGGGAGGGGGAGATCTGTGTCAGAGGTGATTCAAAATTTATTTTGATTCAGTTTTTTAACTGTGTCTATACTTAATTATTTTTTTCCAAAAAGATGTCACCACATGAGAGACGTCTATTGACAGAATCATTGAGATACTTGAATCATACACAAATATTTTCTGAATTCACATTCTTGGGTCAATCAGCTACTTGAGGACAGTGACCTGTACTTGTTGGACATTATGGTGGCTAGCAATAGTTGATGTTCCCTAGTGGAAGGGAATTGGTCAGTGAACATCAAGTGTACTAGCCAATCACAGTCGAGTGAAGCAGCCAATGGAAGGGAATTGGCCAATCAAAATCAAGTGAAGTAGCCAACGGAAGGGCAATCAGCCATGTCAAAATCAATTTGAAGTTGTCCTTTTAGATAAAATTTAAATTCAGCAGCAATAAATGAAGACATCAGATTTCAGTTGAGCTCTAGGCAGTCCTTGCAGTCCCTCATGGCCACCTCATTGTAGAGCTCCACCTGGATGGTGGAGTGAATGTAATGATGTCTGTCCTGAATCAGCTTGGTGGCCAAAGTCAGCACTTGATTATGGAGGTAAGGATTCTCTGGCCAAACAGAAAAAAAAACAACAAAAAGTTTAACTATGAACACCAGAAAACAATATCATAACATTAACCTTATTGTAATGTTAACATGCATTGCTCTGAAAGGGATGAAATCTAACTATGGCTCTGAAAGGGATAAAATCTAACTATGGCTCTGAAAGGGATAAAATCTAACTATGGCTCTGAAAGGGATAAAATCTAACTATGGCTCTGAAAGGGATAAAATCTAACTATGGCTAGATTTACATATTAAAAACTGTAAAGTCAGTAGGCCAACAAAAACAGTCTGGCATTAATTATAGGTTGCAATTTTTAGGTTAGCACAAGACTTAGTGCTGTGAACATGGAGGTTGAGAAGTTGCGGAAAATGATTTAAATGTTAGGGTAAAGGCTGCCGATGGTCACAGTGATTAGACAACCTCAGGCAAAAGTGAAGGTATTTCAAGACCTCTGGCATAC